ATATATATATATATTATAACGTTAATTAAAGAGACGATTAAGAGGCTAATAGTATATTAACAATAATGACAAAAGTCAAAGAAGGATGGGAGAAGAGAAAACAATAAATAAATAATTATCTTACTGTGCTTGCAAACGCATATCCATCATTGTTTAAAAAAAGAGTTAGTGGATTTATGTATTTGTATGGTTGTACACGAGAATATATGTTTATCGATAACAATACCGTTCAAACGATACAACTAACTGTGATGCCATGCTGTATGTATAGAAAAATATATTTCTCTAAACAAATATTTATAAAATATTCAATTTCAGAAATCGATAACTAACGATTTTATTGATGATTTTTTAGATGACACACACACGCGTATATAGATATATACTATATATGTGTGTGTATATATATGTCAATCTTTATTATCAGATCAAATTAATGGAGATTAGATGTTTTAAGAGAGATTGATTATATATTCTAATAGTAATAATAGTTTTAGAAATGTCCCATCAAATAAAGATGTCTAAATGATACTCCTCTATAGAATGGGGTGGTCATGGAGCATGGATTGAAACCCCTTTGTAATTATCTAATTGCTTCCACCTAAACCAAATCTTATTTGTTTATTCTATTTGCTTGCAGAGCAAAATTTGGAAAGCATTATAATTAATAGTAGCTTTTACAAGCTTTGTTAGCTTCTTTTCCCCATGAATCAAGCAACGCCCCAAATAAAACTTATATCTTGGTTTTATATATATATATATATATATATAAAGAATAAGCCTATCTTGACCATGTTTAATAAATGCTTATTAAAATATTAAATTAGAGGAAGGGTTAGTTGCCAAATGAAGGAAATACAAGAAGTGGGCAATGATGCAAGCATCTATACTTTATACTTAAAAATATATATATAATAACATGTCTATTCTTCAAAAACAAGATCTTGGGCAGATCTTCATAAAGCATGAAAAAGCCAATATTTTATACTAAAAGAAAAAAAAATGGGAACAATTTATATTATTCAATTTTCAGGTGGTGAATCAAGTCATCCGCTGATGTTATTTTATTACAAATAATCATAACAATCAAATGGAATTTTTATTTGGACAGTTGTACTAATGGGGACCCAACTGCTTTTGTAGCATAAGAGACATTATCAAGAAACATATTTGTTGTGTCATGTTATTTTATATATACATATATATAGTTTTCATTTAACCTAAGATCTCTAATTGGTGGACTTCTTCCCATCAGTTGACGTCTCATGCTCATCAAAGTTCTTTTAAAAAACAAAAACAAAAATCTTCACTCTGTTATGAAATCGGAAGAAATATTAATGATCCCGGATATTAAATCGTTAACTATAATCAAAAAACTGTATTTTAGGAGAATAGAGAAGAATGTATTTCTTATTACTCTCTCTCTCTTAAAAGTGTACAAATTGAGAAACCTAAATGATCTATTTATAGAAATTCCGAAGTTACTATTCACGTATACGGTCGGTGTGAACAGTAACCGTATATATAAACAGTAAGCCAGTATGAACAGTAACGGTGGGCTCCACCATAAATATATTTTATTTATAACCCTCTCTATATTTTTCTGATTATTGGTTATTTTTTTGGTTTAAATTATTGGTTATTTTTAAATTCCACTAATCAATCTTTTTCCAATTTCACTTTATTTCAACATGGAAGAAAGGAATTCCAAATAAGCATACTCTTATCTATCATCTACATATATCTTGTGGAGGCTACCAAGTGGGTGGGTTGGTTTAATAATTTTGTTGAGTTTATATTTGTATATTTATATATGTATTTTTTTTGTAATTTTAATATAAAAATAAAAATTATATCCTAAAAATCAACTACTATATATATTATAACAATTATTAGAATTATTTCATTTATTTATTTATTTTCATTTTGTACCCTTATTAAATCTATATTTGTAAGAAATTAATAAACGTATATTAATATATCCATGGTGAACATTATTTATGTATTCTCCTGTACACATCATGTAAGTTGTCCATTCTAAGCACTCAAAACTAGAAATATAACAACTCATCTTAGCTTGTAAGTTGATAAATTCCTAATCCCATCATCATGATTTTTCCTTATTAAATCTATATTTGTAAGAAATTAATAAACGTATATTAATATATCCATGGTGAACATTATTTATGTATTCTCCTGTACACATCATGTAAGTTGTCCATTCTAAGCACTCAAAACTAGAAATATAACAACTCATCTTAGCTTGTAAGTTGATAAATTCCTAATCCCATCATCATGATTTTTAGAGTTTTACGTCTATATTCTAAAACACGATTTAATTAATTAATTAATTATATATATATATATATATATATATATATATATTAGAAGTCTTGTGCTTTTAGAACCCTATAATTATATATTAGAATCATTTTATTTTCAAATGAACTATATTAATGGTTTGGCGATTCAACGATATATGTTCGGACGTAATATGATATCTTTGTAGAGATTATTAAAAAGGAGCAAAGTAGTGACTAGAAATAAAATACATGAATGGGATAATATCATACTATATTATAGTCGATCAATTAAATCTTAAATCATTTGATTTCGTTCACATTATTTTTACGTGGAAGATAATATATATTAGAATATCTAAATGTGGCCCCGCTATCGTTTGATCAAATGCTCGCTTTTCTTCTAGATGACTCCAAAACCGCTTTAATCTAATAATTTAATCAATTATTTATATAATATGTCTTTAAGCAAGATTGACAAATTTTGAGGGGGGGGGGTGGTGTTGTTATGAAACTTAATAATTAAAGACCCAAAAAATTGTCTGCTTTATGCGGACCAAATGAAGGTATATAGTAATCTTTTTTCTTTGATAAAGAAGTATATAGTAATCTTATAAAACCCTAAGATGATATTATCTTTTATTTACTATTTTCGTATACGTTTGCGCCCATTAGAACTCGAATTATATGCGTAAATATTTCCATGCGCATCACACAAAAGTGAGACAACACATATAAAATTAAGTATAGAACATGCCCTTTGTGTGAATATATATATATATATATATATAATATAGGTTGTAGTATCATGTGCTTACAAAATTTATTTAAGATTGAGTGACTCAATTGGTAAAAAATGAACAAAGTTTTTTTTAATCTAGGTTTTAAATCGGGTAATCTCCATTTGGAAAGAGATTTTTATATAGATTTTTTCGGTTTTTTTAGAGAGATAATTGATTCAAAAGTTGGTGAACTTTCAGACTAAAAAAATAAGAATTTTATAAGTAATGTTATATGGTGTGGTTTCTAAAATAATTTGAAAACAAACCACAAATTACACATTTTTTAAAATAAATGGGAGTTTATATTTATATTATGATTTTTACTAGTAATTGCTTCATAGTATTGGACCGGACGAAGCAGTACAAGATTGACTGAAATCCAGCCGTCTCATGCATGACCAATACAAAACTCTATCCATTCTTCAATATTATACGAATTACGTTGCGACATTTTCATTTTTTAACCGCAAGTGGTAATTTATATTCCAATAAAAATATAATTTTATAACATTTGATTTGACGCAATGCAGCCATAGCACACCGAATTTATTATCGCACGTACGTGTACCCTAACCTTATCCTGTTACTCCATTTTGGAAATTCACTGATATTCATCTTTCATACAATTATTTTGGAGTTTTGTAAGCCTTCCATTCATTTTGCTTCAATCTTCACAGGTTAGAAAAAACTCTTGATGTACGAATTTTTTTCGTTTAATATATACACAACCTTTAATATAAATATAATTATTTATAATAAGATTATAATATAAAGAACTTGATTATAATAAGATTATGACGGTCCACATCGAATTGGGCCTCGAAACTGAATTCGTAAGCCGAATCCTTTGTTTGGAGACTTGCACTGTTCGAATATGTGTGTGATAGTAATGAAGTATTCCGTCCTCGTCAAACCAATGTCTCCTCCTGTCAAGATCCCAACGCTGTCGATCGGCTCCGATCACCACCGGATACCGGTGATTGGCTTCGGCACCGCCGCGTCTGCTCCTCCGGATCCGGCGGAGCTGAAGCTGGCGGTGATCGACGCCGTCAAGCTCGGATACCGCCACTTCGACACGTCTCCCAGGTACCAGACGGAGGAGCCACTCGGCGAAGCCCTGTCGGAGGCGATCTCCTCCGGCTTGGTCGGATCCAGGGATGAGCTCTTCGTCACTTCCAAGCTCTGGTGCGCCGACGCCCATCGCGGCCTCGTCGTCCCTGCGATCAGGCGAAGTTTGCAGTAAGCTTTTGAGTCTCTCTTCTTTTAGGGATTTTCATTAGAGGGTTATTAGAGAAACGTCTGATCTGGAAGACTCTGCAATCAGTTTTGTTCTTTGAGAATGATGAACTCTTGTGAAGTCGATGATCTCCTTGCTTGTGACTTGGTTCTGATTGTGAATAGATGGATAGTGAATCTTTGGGGTGTGAATACGCACAGATGAATCTCGGTTTTCAAAGAGTTATGCTAAAGTCCACTAGAACAGAGTGAATTTCAATGTTCTGAATTCGTGGACAAGTTCAAGTTCAGAACAATCACTGGTTAATTTCTTGTTCATTACTTGATGATATATCCTGCTGCTTGCTTGGTTAACTGATCTGGAGTATCTGATACATTCTGGTGACAAAACCTCTCATAACCTTATGTAGTGTGTCTCCTATAACACCCTTTCTGCAGAAAACTTAGACTGGACTATCTCGACCTATATCTGGTTCATTGGCCGGTGGCCTCGAAACCGGGCAAGTACAACTTTCCTATTGAAGAATTCATGCCGTTTGATTTTGAAGCAGTTTGGTCTGAAATGGAGGAATGCAAGAGACTCGGGCTTGCAAAGTGTATTGGAGTGAGCAATTTCTCATGCAAGAAGCTTCAACACATCCTCTCCGTCGCCAAAATCCCGCCTTGCATTAATCAAGTAAGCCAAATTCTAAGTTATGAAACCGAACTCCATTTCTTGTAAAAAGGGGAGTAGCCGATGGAGTTGCATTCAGCTTTCTTTGACTAGGAGAGATTGTATTGAGTTGTGACAGTATGTTTGTGTGAAAGGTGGAGATGAGCCCTGTTTGGCAACAGAGAAAGCTGAGAGAGCTCTGTGAATCGAACGGCATTGTTTTGACGGCTTATTCGGTGTTGGGATCAAGAGGGGCGTTCTGGGGAACTGACAAAGTCATGGAGTCTGATGTTCTGAAAGAGATAGCCAAGTCCAAGGGAAAGACAGTGGCTCAGGTATCCAAACTAAATATAAATTTAGAACAAAAAAAAATCAGGAATTTGGAGAAACAGAGAAGCTAAAACTTGTAAGAAATAATGTTTTGTCAAATGATACCATTTTATTCTCCTTTTCCATTTTTTGCTATAGAAAAAGGTTTTGTGAGGTAAAAGAAAATGAAAGTTCTCACTATGAATCATGTTTTCGCATGTAGACTTGCTGAACAAACCGAATTTCCAAAAACTTGCCTCTTCTGGTACTCAAATATGGCTCGTTATTTTGCGAAAAGCTCATTTTTTTCTCATCTTTTCTTTTGGTCATTTTTCCTGTGAGCTTTTGTTGCAATGTTGAAACTCCGGTTTAGGGGATGATAAAATTGTGACAGGTGAGCTTGAGATGGGCATACGAGCAAGGAGTGAGCATGGTGGTGAAGAGCTTCAACAGAGAGAGATTAGAAGAGAATCTGCATATATTCGAATGGTCACTTACAAAAGACGAGAACCAGAGGATCGCAACGCAGATCCCGCAGCGCAGAGTCGTTCTTGGCGAACCTTACATCTCTCCCAAAGGCACCATCAAATCCGTGGAGGAAATGTGGGATGGTGAGTTCTGAACATTCTGATTAAGTTTCCGATTCAGACAGTTTGCGTCACTGAAGAATGGATTTTCATTACCTGGTTTTGAAAGTTCATGTTTAGATTGAGCCATTTTGGAAAGTTCTCACTTTTCAACTTCTAGATCTTTTTGGTTTCTCATATCCCATCCAGACAGATTGGAAATTTCCAAAAGTTCATCTCTTGCAAACTTTCGCGTTTTGGAAAAAAGCTTAAATGGGTTTTTTTCCCACACATTTTGAAGTTGTGATTTTTATTTATTTTCCATATTTTCTTACAAATAGGGAAAAAAATTTCCCCACTGATGTGACATGGGTGGGGTTCCTGAGAGGGGGTTTTGGATTTGATATTTGAGTTTTGCCGAATTTAACTTTGTTTGGTATTGGATAATTAAACCTTTCCTTAAATCGTAGGAACTTAATTCGGTCCGGGGTTTGGATTGCTTTGCCGTAGAAAGGTTATAATTAGGGACGGGTGTTTCGGGATTCGGTTCGAAATTTTAGCAATTCGTTTCGGGAATGATTTTTTCAATATTCTAAAATTTTATTCCAAATTAATACCGTATATTATTCAGTTCTGGGTTCGGTTTCGGTTTTGTTAAAAAAAATTAGATTTTCTTAAGAAATTTTTTTGTTTTTCGGGAATTTTATACAGTTCGGTTCGGTTTAGAGAAATTCGGTTCTACAAAAATATGCTGTTTGAGAATTTTAAAGGGTAAGGTTTGTGAAAAATACCGAAATTTTCAGTTCGGTAGGGAGAACCAAACTGTGGAATAATTATAATGTTTAAAATTAAACGTTTTGTACCCGTGTAATGCAACAGGAAATCTAATAATGTTCCAATTGCAATGGGCTTGGCCTTTGACTATGAATTTATGGACTTCTTAGGTAATACTAATATTACGTTTATTTTGTTAGAGGCCTTTTTTAAATTGTTTTAAAATTCTCATAAAAAAAAAGAAAAGAAAATTCAGTCGTCTACTAAATCAATTGGAAACGATAACCATTCACAATTTTAAAATGAATAAAAAAATGTATTGAACAAAAACCGTGACCTCTAAAATTACTAAAATATAGAAAATTAATGTCTATATGAACTGCAGCACCAGAAATTGCAACATGTTCATGTTTTTGTTTTAACTCTGGTTAGAATTCGGGCGAGGGGCACGACTGAGGGGGCAGAGAGCAATGGGGCAAGACGTGGAAGGGAGACGCCGAGGGGCGAGAGACAAACACGAGGCGAAAGCAGAGTAGGGCGAGGGGTAGTGTACGTGTTAATTTTTTTTAAAAGAAAAATCATGAAAAAATATCTCAAACTTTTTAATTTTGTCAAAAAAAACTTGAACTCTTTTTTTTTTCAAATAAACCCCTAACTCGTTCTTTATATTGAAAAAAATCTGAATTTTATAAAATTTATCATTTTTTAAAATTTTAAATCCAACTGCTGATATGTTAATTTATAACTTTGACAGAAACGTATACACGTCATCATTCAAATCACAAATTGACATATATAATATTGGCATATCTCGTCATCGATTGAATAAAAAAAGATAACATTTATAAAATTCGAGGTTTTATTTAGTAAAAAATAAAGTTCAATTTTTTTTCTTGAAAAAATAAAAAGTTTGGATATTTTTTAAAAAAAATTCAAAAGCAACAATTTCAACAAAGGATACATCGATTTTGGTTCGTTTTCGTCTCCTCGCTTCTCCCCGACCCCACCTCATCTTCTCCGTCTCCACCACATTTGCTTTCGCAGGTAGCCGAGTTCTTCCTACACCTTGCGGATCATCCACATTTACAATTCGCATATTTCGACGTCGCTTCAGGCGAACACTTCACGTGTAATACGCATTATATTAAAAGAATTATTGTTACATAAAAAGAAAATCCTCCTCCCTCTCTCTACCTTTCCCTTTTCCATTCTCACCCAAAAATCCCTAATCGACTGCATCTTCTTCGTCGATCCCGGCCGGCGCCGTCGCTGGCCGGCCATCACTAGCTCCCGAATGCCTCCTCAGCTTCGGTCCAGCTCAGTTCCACCCAAATCGACCCAATCAAAATGTCTCCAATCCATTCTCCCTCCACCACCTCCTTCACACCTCCCCTGACCTTCGGCTCGTCCCACTGACGCGGAGCTCTTTCCCGCTGCTCCTCTCTGCCCTCCTCGATAACTCGAGCAATGGCACCATCATCTTCACTAGGCAAGCGCCGGGTGTTGCCCCGCACCATAGCGGATTCCTCTGCTCCGATTCCACAAACGAGCTCAGCAACAACTGTCATACCATCTTCTCCTTCCCAACCAACGGATGGAGGCCATATAAACCCAGGCTCAACCTGGAGCAAAATCCTGCAATCTTCACTCCGAACTCTGAAGAAGACAGGTAATCCAACAATACTTCCTTCGGGTGTTCCCTCCGTCGATATCCCGACTGAATCTCTGACAAACTCAGCAGCCGAGTGGAAGGATTTTCTTCTCGGACAGTTTTATGGAATCCCGCCCTCGATTGGTAGAGTTATAGGCTTGGTTAATGCCTTGTGGCCGAGGAAAAAAGCCAAAGTAAAGGTCCAAGATCTAGGGAAAGGCACTTTCTTGTTTAAAATGCCAGACGAACCAACAAAGTTACATGCGCTAGGCCAGAATATATGGTATGTGGGCTCCTGCCCCATGTTTGTGTCGCCGTGGACTCCAAACCATAATCCATCCAAACCTCCACTCACGTCGGTGCCGACCTGGGTATCATTTAACCAGGTTCCGTACCAGTTATTCACAAATGACGGGTTGAGTAGAATTGCTACATGCATTGGAGATCCTCTCTATCTTGATCGTGCAACAACCAATAAAGAGAATGTAAACGCAGCAGCGAGGATCTATATTGAGATTAACCTCCAGAAGGCATTACCCAAGGAGATCAATGTCAACCTCCCATTGGGTGAATCGCGCTCTATTCTCGTCAACTACGATTGGCTTCCTCCCAATTGTAGTGTCTGTAGAGAAGTCGGTCATACAGGATCTCATTGCTACCGAAATCCGGAGGCCAAGCAGCCTGTCAAAGGTCCGAGTGCTCACTCTCGACGTGGTCGACCGGTTGCCGGTAGGTTGGAACGGTCTAATCCACCAACCCTGGAAACTGATCACTCTGACCAGATCAGTAGTAAGCATCAACCTCAGGCTCAGCTTGTTCCGGAAGTCTCTCCCACTAGTCAGTCTCAATCTCTTGGCTCGACCCTACCTGATTCTGTTGATCAACCCATGAAGGAACCAGACCCTATAGTCCACCCTATGGACTCTGATGACTCGCTCTGTGATCCTATCTCTGTTTCTGATCTCCATTCGCAGACGACTATGGCACCTCCATCAGCCATCCAAGCAGCTCAGATTACTAATACCTCTACCCCCAAGCCAGATTCTCAGCCTCCACCCGCACAATCTACGGCGAGGAAAAAGGAGAAAGGGAAAGGCAAAGGGAATGGAGGTGGTCGAAAGGCCACGCCGATCGCCTAATTCAACAAGGGACCCATGTTTTTTGTTCGAAACGTAAGAGGTATAAATGCTAGTCGGAAACGGGTTTTACTTCGCAAGTGGATTTTGGACAATAAATTACTAGCGGGAGGTATTATCGAGAGTCATATCAGAAAGGAGAATGAAGTTAGGATCCGAACAGCCATTCCCCCGGACTGGCGATTTTATTGCAATCATGAAGATGATAATTCAGGCAGAATATGGATAGTCTGGCACCCCTCGGTGAGTGTTTTGATTTATGAATCATCGGCGCAGGCAGTAACTTGCAGAGTTCAGATGCTAAGGGACACTATAACCTTCACTGCTACAGTGGTTTATGGGAAAAATCAGCCGCAAGACAGAATAAGCCTCTGGACTACTCTTTGCAACCTTAGTGCTTACCCTCCCCTTGTAAGATCTCCTTGGCTAGTGGTGGGAGATTTTAATCAACCACTCAAGTTGACTGAAAGATCAGATTATCCATCATACTTCCCTCAAACACAGGGCATGGAAGCAATGGAGCACTGTATGTCAGAGACGGGGCTGACAGACATAGAGTGCAAGGGGCTATTCTTCACATGGTATAACAACCAAACTTTATCCCCTTTGGCGGTGAAATTAGACAGAGCATTGGCAAATGTGATGTGGAAAAATGATTTCCCGACCACGTATGCTGAATTTCAACCTCCGGGTTGGTCTGATCATGCGGCGTGTGTGGTGCATTTTCCCCGAACTCTCCCACAGGTGCGCCGACCTTTCAAATACTTCCATCATGTTGCAACTCACCCCCTGTTTAAGCAGGTTATTGCATAAAATTGGACAGCAGCTTTTATCACTGGTTCCCGACAATTTAAGTTGTGTAAAGCTCTTAAGTTCTTGAAGCCCTCTTTGAGGAGACTAAACTCAGAGCATTTCAGTAATATTTCGGCCCGCACTGCACGGGAATATCGTAAACTCAAGGATCTTCAAAAGCAGGCCTTCTCGGACCCCGGTATAGTCATTGCTGAGGCTGAGAGGAAGCAAAGGAAACTTTGGGTTGAACTTTCAAGGGCTGAGGAAATTTTCTACCTTCAGAAATCCCGAATCAAGTGGTTGCGGGAAGGGGACCGTAACTCTAGCTACTTCCATAAGGTAGCTAAAGCCCGAGTTTCCCGAAACCACATCCACTACCTGATGGACGATCAGGGGAATAAACTGTCATCGCTGGACGAGTTGAAATCACATGCTGTGGAATTTTTCTGCTCTTTGATTGGGACAAGGAATCAGTTGGTGCAAGTTTCCTCAGTGAGTGACCTCCAGCATATCCTTACCCCTCAGATTGGTACTTGGAATTCGGACTCTCTCTTACAAATTCCTTCAGCGGAGGAAATAATTCTGACGTTGCGGAGGATGCCAAATAGAAAGACCCCGGGGCCAGACGGCTTTGGTAAGGAGTTCTACTTGGATGCTTGGGACTCGGTTGGAAATGACTTGATTGCTGCGGTGCAGGAATTCTTCAGGTCTGGGAAAATGCTAGGGCAGATGAATTCAACAGCCATAGTATTGATTCCGAAAACGCTGACAGCTGACTCCTTAAAAGACTACAGGCCAATAAGTCTGTGTAACTTGCCATACAAGATTATTTCGACGATTCTGGCTTCCCGGCTAAAACCTATGCTGCAAGCGATAATATCTCCCAACCAAGCAGCCTTCTTGGAAGGGAGATTGATGATGGATAATATTCTTCTGGCTTTGGAATTGGTTAGAGATTATAACCGCAATATTCAGCCCTGCAGCGCGATGTTAAAAATAGACATCCGGAAAGCCTTTGACTCACTTCATTGGGAGTTTATCATTAACATCCTTAAGGCGCTACAGTTGCCTCCTAAGTTTATTCGATGGATTGAAAGCTACATCACAACAACCAGCTTCTCTATTTCGATTAATGGTGAGCTTACGGGTTTCTTCCGCGGTATGAGAGGATTGCGACAAGGTGACCCTCTGTCCCCATATTTGTTCATATTAGCAGTGGACATTTATTCGAGAATGTTGGATAATGCAGCGAGGGCCAATAGGATTCGACTTCACCCAAAATGCAAGGACCCTATGATTACCCACCTTGTATTTGCCGACGATATCATGATATTCACAGAAGCAGACAGTCGCTCTTTGGAGGAAATCAGGGATGTCACTACATCTTTTGGAATGATGTCCGGGCTCTTCATTAATCAAGAAAAATCTGAGATCTTCTTTAGTGGTGGTTCGACAACAGATAGGGAGACATTGCTACAGATTTCCGGGATGTCACCGGGCACACTACCGATTCGTTATCTAGGGGTCCCTCTCAGCCCCTGGCGCCTATCTAGCTCTGATTTTCTCCCGCTTATTGACAAGATCAAAGGCAAGGTGTCAAGTTGGACAACTAAGTTTCTATCGGCTGCTGGAAAAATCCAACTGGTTGTGTCGGTTATTTATGGCTTGGTTAACTCATGGTGCGGTGTTTTTATGCTTCCTAAGTGTGTGACAAAGAAGATTGACAGTATTTGCTCTGAGTTTCTATGGAAGAAATCTGAAGCGAACTCCTACTCATCTCGAGTTTCTTGGGAAACTATTTGTTCTCCTAAGAAGGAAGGTGGCCTTGGCATTAGGAGACTACAAGATATTAACATGGTATTTCGTCTAAAGCAGGTATGGTCCATATTCTCCAAGAAACAATCTTTATGGGTTGCATGGCTGTTGAAGAATTCATTGAGACTTAGAGGATATTGGGATACGCGCCCGAGTGCGAGACACTCATGGACTCTACGAAAACTCCTAACTCTCAAAGAATTGGTGAAGACTTTCTTGAGACAACAGTTGGGAGATGGAAATGAGGCAAGCTTTTGGCATGACTCCTGGACTCCTCTGGGACCATTGCTTGATTATGTTGGAGACAATGGTCCTTCATTGTTATGTATTGCGAGGAAAGCTACGGTTAAGGCAGCTTGTAAGGACGGCAATTGGCATTTGCCGGGAGCACGAAATGATCGCATTCAGCAGGTACAGACTATCCTTTCTGCTATCACTCCTCCATCAGATAGCAAAGGACCTGATATCCCTCTTTGGAGGCAATCTGATGGCTCTTATAAGCCAAACTTCAACTCGTCCTCCACCTGGAACCTTGTTCGACAGGCAGGTACACTCGTGTCATGGTTCGGGGTGATTTGGTTTAAGTTAACAACTCCGAGGCTTGCATTTATACAATGGGAAGCCTGTCGTGAGAGACTTCCAACCAGAGATCGGTTGTTGCGATGGGGTCTATTGAGCTCAGCCACCTGTATTCTATGTGAGACTGCAGATGAGACACATAATCACCTCTTTTTTGGTTGTGAGTACAGTTCGGAGGTGTGGCGTCCAATGGCTAGGAGAATATGGGCCAACCCTCCGATCACACTCTCTGAATGTGTATTGTGGATCACAGACCCCGCACACGAAGAAACACACAATCGTCGTCTTATAGCGAAGACTCTACTACAGGTTGCAGTGGAGGCCATATGGAAGGAACGCAATCAACGGTTATTTCGCAACCGATCCAATACGGTGGCGATTACCCGTCTTAAGATTGATAGACGCATAAGGAATATTTTCTTGACTGCTGCTGGCCGATGCCGGATCACAACTTCATCTCCCCTCCAAGATTGGTATTATCTCGAGATTATCTCCCGCTAAATCGTCTACCTAAGTTAAATCATTGTATACCCAATTATGGGTCTTTTGTATACCACTTGTCATGGGTCCCTTATTCTGTTTTCGAACAAAAACTTATCTGTAAAGTTTTGATATAATTAATACGATTCACATTTTAATCAAAAAAAAAATTATTGTTACATAATACATATTTTAAAATAAAATAACACAATTTGTTACTAATAATTTAAATCTACAAAAAAAAAAAGACAAGATGAAGTCAAACGCGGAGCCGCAGAGTTGGATCAAATCGGTCAAATAATTCCGAATCCTGCAAGAAATTTTAACACGGGATTAGGTCAACGTTAACCACCACAGTTGATTACAGTAATCAAATGAACAATTTATCATTAATTAAATACATAATCATTATTATAATTAATGACTCTCTGTCATTGGAATGGAATCCATACGTCTTCGTGGTTGTCATGTTCCTCGCGGATCATTACATACACACGTACATACACACGACACATCTTTCAGCTTTCTTCGAATCTCAGAGTTCGCGGGGAAAACAACCGAAATCTTTTGGTTCCCGGCGATTCCTACCTCCGGTGAACTACCACGACTGCCATGTCGTTCCTCTTCCGTAAGAACGGTAGCTCGCGGCGGAAGATCAGAGACAAGCTTAGTGGTCGGAACTCCGACAAGAGAAAAGACGATAGGTTTCACGGCGAAGGCGGCGGATCCGGATCGCCGTCGCGGCCACCACCTCCTTCGCCGTGGGGGTTCTTATTTCCCGACGATTTCGTTCGGATCGACGGGAACCTGAAGGCGGTTATCGTTGAAGACAACGGATTGGATGTGATTTACTGGAGAAGACTTCTGGAGCTCGATAACGGCGGGAAAATTAGAAACCCTAGAACGAGAAACGACGGTAGAAATCGACTGATAGGAACAGGAGAACGAGATGAACGGGAAGAAGAAGGAGAAGAAGAGGAAGACGAAGAGGAAGGAGAGATCGATGCGGGTCTGTACAGAAGATCACGTCGTCGAGACAAGAGAAATGCATCGATGGAAGAGGATTTTTCGTTCCACACAAGAAAATCTAGGTCGTCTTCTTCGGGTGGGGAGAGTCGAGGTTATAACGATGGAAGACGATATTCTTCTTCTGCTTCTGCATCGCCGTCGATGGCTTCTACAAGCACCATAGATAACTATGGTGCCATTGGGAATTCCAAATCGAGCTCTCAAACTGCGAACTTCACTCCGCCGTCGCCGCCAACCCAGAACAGCGCCGGTCCTTCGCCACCACTTCCTCTTCCTCCGTATCAAGCCACGACGGCGGCGGCTGG